GTTAAAAGTTGAGCTTGAACATCTTGTAAAGTGGTGGTGCAATTTTTAAGATGGTCAGCAGTAATTCCACTGAAGCGAGTATTGTAATCAATGATTTCATTATGTGGTTTAACATAAGTATTATAAACTATTTCTCGAAAAGAAATAGATGACTCATTAAATACCATTAACTCGAAGCTCTCGATACTTTGGGAGCGCAATAAAATTTATGATTTCATGGAGTTGGAAATTTAGAGTGAAAATGTACCTGAACACTTGTAAATATGTACTAAGTAAAGTAAGAATATTATAATAAAATTTATTTATAATTTATTATAAATAAACAATTTAATGAGAAGAATATTGTAAGATATATTTAAACCAATGTTAATAATAAGTTTAAGATTTTTAACTCCCGGGGTTCCACGATCTCTATAAACGAGTGAGTGGAACATAGGTTGAGCACCTACCGGGCGCGTCTCCAGGTGGCGGATAGGAGCATTGTCCGGGTAGTACCGAGTGGAGGCCTCGGGGGCCGCGAGGCGTACCGAGTGCAAACACGAGGGAAGCCGCTGGCAAGTGCAGCTTGGGTGTGTACACACTTTAAGAGGCACCGTGGACCAACTCCCCAAGTCAAGGTGTAAGCCATCGTGCTGAAGATTGAATGGCACTGGGACACTGTGTCGCAAACGATGCCCTTGGGGTACCAGGCGACCCCCCATTGTAGCTAGCCTTACCTGTGCAAGAGGCTTTGCACAGGTGGACCTTTATTTCCTCATCACTCATGGGACTCGAATGGATGACCTACACAACATTCGGAGTAGTGGGGGTCCTATCTCTTCTGACGAAGAAATAGGACTTGGAAAAGCCGAGGCGGGACGAACCAGCGAGGACGGCGAGGTGCAAACCGAGCTGCCTTGTAAGGAACGACCTGCTACCGGCAAGGAGGATCAGGGGAAGAAATTCGATAAACCTGATCCACCGTCACGCCCCAATAAGAAAAAGTTTTGCGGGGCAGCGAGGAAGAGGTTGAGGAAGGCTAAGCTGCTGGAACTGGAGAAATCCGGGGCTAGCACAGCCGGAGCGAAGGCTGAGCCAAGTCAGAGGAAACCGGGGGCCCCTGTGGTAACCGGCGGAATCTCTGGAGGCAAGGCAACTTCCTGTGGTACCAGGACTGACCCTAAGGTCGAGACCGGGGCCACTAGCTTCACCAAGTCGGGGTCTTCCACCGAAGCCGTGGGTAACACCGAAAGGCAGAGGTCGGAGGATTGCACGACGCAAAATGTCGAGCGAAGAAGGCTCGCGTAACACCTGGGCCTGGCAGCTTTGCTGAAGCGGCTGCGGGAGGCAAGAGGGTGGCCATCGCACCGGACCTCTATCCTTTTGCGACCCTCAGCAAGCAGCAAGGGGAACTAGTGCTGGCAGGACTTCTTCGGGCCCTGGACGATGCCATCAAAAGTGGCACGGTTCTGGGATTTGAGGGCCACAAACTCGACAGAGGGCTTCTGTGGATCAACTGTCCTGATGAACGGGCAGCCACATGGCTCAAGGAGACAGTCCCCTCCATAAAGGTCTTGGAAGGAGTAAACCTCGAGGTCCTCGAGAGGGAGAAAGTCCGGTGCGATGGCCACCCTCTTGCCTCCCGCAGCCGCTTCAGCAAAGCTGCCAGGCCCAGGTGTTACGCGAGCCTTCTTCGCTCGACATTTTGCGTCGTGCAATCCTCCGACCTCTGCCTTTCGGTGTTACCCACGGCTTCGGTGGAAGACCCCGACTTGGTGAAGCTAGTGGCCCCGGTCTCGACCTTAGGGTCAGTCCTGGTACCACAGGAAGTTGCCTTGCCTCCAGAGATTCCGCCGGTTACCACAGGGGCCCCCGGTTTCCTCTGACTTGGCTCAGCCTTCGCTCCGGCTGTGCTAGCCCCGGATTTCTCCAGTTCCAGCAGCTTAGCCTTCCTCAACCTCTTCCTCGCTGCCCCGCAAAACTTTTTCTTATTGGGGCGTGACGGTGGATCAGGTTTATCGAATTTCTTCCCCTGATCCTCCTTGCCGGTAGCAGGTCGTTCCTTACAAGGCAGCTCGGTTTGCACCTCGCCGTCCTCGCTGGTTCGTCCCGCCTCGGCTTTTCCAAGTCCTATTTCTTCGTCAGAAGAGATAGGACCCCCACTACTCCGAATGTTGTGTAGGTCATCCATTCGAGTCCCATGAGTGATGAGGAAATAAAGGTCCACCTGTGCAAAGCCTCTTGCACAGGTAAGGCTAGCTACAATGGGGGGTCGCCTGGTACCCCAAGGGCATCGTTTGCGACACAGTGTCCCAGTGCCATTCAATCTTCAGCACGATGGCTTACACCTTGACTTGGGGAGTTGGTCCACGGTGCCTCTTAAAGTGTGTACACACCCAAGCTGCACTTGCCAGCGGCTTCCCTCGTGTTTGCACTCGGTACGCCTCGCGGCCCCCGAGGCCTCCACTCGGTACTACCCGGACAATGCTCCTATCCGCCACCTGGAGACGCGCCCGGTAGGTGCTCAACCTATGTTCCACTCACTCGTTTATAGAGATCGTGGAACCCCGGGAGTTAAAAATCTTAAACTTATTATTAACATTGGTTTAAATATATCTTACAATATTCTTCTCATTAAATTGTTTATTTATAGTATAAATTATAAATAAATTTTATTATAATATTCTTACTTTACTTAGTACATATTTACAAGTGTTCAGGTACATTTTCACTCTAAATTTCCAACTCCATGAAATCATAAATTTTATTGCGCTCCCAAAGTATCGAGAGCTTCGAGTTAATGGTATTTAATGAGTCATCTATTTCTTTTCGAGAAATAGTTTATAATACTTATGTTAAACCACATAATGAAATCATTGATTACAATACTCGCTTCAGTGGAATTACTGCTGACCATCTTAAAAATTGCACCACCACTTTACAAGATGTTCAAGCTCAACTTTTAACATTTATTACTACTGAAACAATTCTCATGGGACATGCCTTAGAAAATGATCTAAGAGTTCTCAAAATCTCAAAATCTCACTGAACTGAATGAATGAAGAGAAAAAATGAAGTAGATGAAATTATTATAATGATTAACAGTCATACTTAATTAATAGTCGATACTTTGGGAGCGCAATAAAATTTATGATTTCATGGAGTTGGAAATTTAGAGTGAAAATGTACCTGAACACTTGTAAATATGTACTAAGTAAAGTAAGAATATTATAATAAAATTTATTTATAATTTATTATAAATAAACAATTTAATGAGAAGAATATTGTAAGATATATTTAAACCAATGTTAATAAAAAGTTTAAGATGTTTAACTTGAATATTTTACCCTTTTTTTTAATTCAAATAATAATATTTTTTAATTTTATAATTAATAGTATAAACTATTATTAAAAATTTTAATGCTTTGATATTAAATTATAAAAAAATTAAATAATTGAATTTTTATTTTATTATTAATTAATCCTTTGATAGTTTTTTCTATGAATAGATGAATGAATTTATGAATTAATATAGAAATAAATATATTAATTTTTTTAACTTATGTTATTTTAAACAATAAATATATATATTTATTTAATTTTATTAGATCAATAATTTTTTTTTATTTATAAATTTATTAATTAAAAATGGTTTGTTTATTTATAAATATTTAATAAATTTAATAATAGTAATTAAATTAGGATTATTTCCATTTTATTATTGATTTTTAGAAATAATAATATTTACATATATATAAATTGAATAAGATGTTTTATTTTATCTGTATGACAAAAATTAATTCCTTTATATGTAATAAATTTATTTATATTAAAGTATATAAATTTTATTTTAATTTTAATTAATGGTTTATTTAGAATATTTATAGTAATTAATGAATTTATATTAAAAAAAATTATATCTTTTTCATCAATTAATCATATGGTTTGAATAATTTTAATAGTTAATTTAAATATATTTTTAATTTATTATATTATTTATTTATTTTTAAATTTAAAATTAATTATTGTTTTTAATAAATTAAATATATTGAATTTAATTAATGTATCAAATAGTTCAATTAAACTATCTTAAGAGACGTTAGAATTTTAATTATTGTTATTATTTTTTGTATAGGTGGTTTACCACCTTTTTTAGGATTTTTAATAAAATTTTTAATTATTTATGAAATTATTTTTATTATAAAATTTTTTTTAATTTTAATATTAATTTTTTTTTCTTTATTTTTTCTATATTATTATTTACGAATTAGAATAAATTTTATAATTATAAATTTTATAAATTTAAAATTTTATAATTATAATTTATATATAAATAATTTTTATTTGATTTTTTATTTAAAAATTTTTTTATTTATTGGTATATTATTAATATTTATTTTTTTAAAATATTAGTTTATAGTAAATAAAATTAAAAATAATCTTTTGAATAAATTTACAGTTTATTACTTAAATCAGACACATTACTTAATGAATAAATGGTTTTTTTCAACTAATCATAAAGATATTGGAGTTTTGTATTTTATTTTTGGTATATGATCAGGATTTTTTGGTTTATCTTTAAGATTATTAATTCGTATAGAATTGAGAATTTTAGGTAGATTATTTATAAATGATCAATTATATAATAGAGTTGTTACATTGCATGCTTTTATTATAATTTTTTTTATGGTTATACCAGTTATAATTGGTGGATTTGGGATTTTTATATAAATATTGAAATATTTTATCATTAATTGGTTCAATGATAACTTTAGTTTCAATAATTATATTTTTTTACCATTATTATAATTTAATTAATTTTTTAATATTTTTAATAAAAAATTATACATATAATTATAATACTTATATGTATTATATTATTTTATTTTATATTATTTTTTTATTTTATTTTAATATTTTATTTATATTTTCTAGAGGTATTTAATATGCTAACAGGTGGCGCATGGTGTCATTTTCCATGACATTTCACCACCAGGAGGCGCCCAATAACTAGCCAACCAGAAGGATTTTTCAATCACATGAGATTTGATTCTCAACCTGTGCACATCGTGTAATTTTTGTGAAAATACAAGTGCAATTGTGTTTTTATATATCAACAGGATAAGTAAAACTTAAAAACGAACATTGAAGAATAAAAGTGAGTGTTTGTGATTAGAAATAATTAATTTATACAGTTGAGGTGAAGTGATAAACCAATGTCAAACCGAAGTTTCGAATTTAGTAAAGGGATGATCCCTTCACGATGGTTATCATGTCCTCGCAAAAGTATTGAATTAATAAACAATAAATTTCTCGCGTTTAAAACACCACTTTCTGATGAGTTTAATAATCAAGTTTCTGAAGAATGTCGTTTTTCTGTGAATATGCTGTTTGCATCATTAAAGTATCAAAGATTGAAAATGGGATTACTAATAGATTTGACAAATACCACCACCAGGTTTTATAATAAAGCTGATGTTGAATCTCATGGATGTCGTTATTACAAGCTCCAATGTCGTGGTCATGGAGAAACTCCCTCCATAGAACAAACAAAAGTTTTTATTGAAATTTGCAGAAATTTTATTGCTCGTAATCCATCTAAGATCATTGGAGTTCATTGCACCCACGGTTTTAATAGAACCGGGTTTCTTTTAATAAGTTACTTGGTTGAAAGTAACATATTGAACTTGGATGCTGCTGTAAGTGAATTTTCAACGGCTAGACCTCCTGGAATTTATAAGGAAGACTATATTAAAGAGTTATACAGGCGATATGATGATAAGAATGATGTTCTTCCTGTACCACCACTACCAACTTGGTGTTTAGAATATGATAATTTAAAAGGAAATGGAAAACAACATGATAAATGTGAAAATCGTGAATATACTCAAGATGGAGTTTTCATGGCTGGAGTTTCTGAAGTAAAACCAGTACGAGATTTAGCTAAAGTTATGAGAATTCAACAAAGAATTCAAAAAATCTGCAAATGGAATAGAAGTGGTTTTCCTGGTTCCCAACCTGTCTCTATGGATCAGAATAATATCATTCAATTTAATATCAAACCATACCAAGTATCATGGAAAGCTGATGGTACTAGATATATGATGTTTATCCAAGCAAACGAAGAAGTGTTTTTCATTGATAGAAATAATAGTGTCTTTGAGGTATCCGGATTGACTTTTCCACACTGTGAAGATGTTTCAAGAACTCTGAAAGATACTTTATTAGATGGAGAAATGGTTATTGATAAAGTAAATGGTACCGAACATCCTAGGTACTTAGTTTTTGACATTATCATGTGTGATGGTGAAGATGTATCGACAGACTTATTTTTTATTGAGCGATATGCTATAATCGAGAAAGAAGTGATAGGAAGCCGAATGAGAGCATTAAATGAAGGCCGAATACGACGAAATCAAGAACCCTTTTCTATTCGTCAAAAGCAATTTTGGGATATTACACAAGTCAACAAGTTATTGAGTGAAAAATTTGTGAAACAATTGGGTCATGACCTAGACGGCCTGATCTTCCAGCCTTCGAAGGAGCCTTACATCCCTGGACCTGCAGCAACCGTCTTGAAGTGGAAGCCACTATCGTTGAATTCAGTGGACTTCAAATTGAAAATAGTCGTCGAATCAGGTATTTCATCAAAAAAAATTGGTCAATTATATGTTGGGGGTTTAAGCGAACCATATAATTTTATTGCGGTTACTAGGGAAATAGAAAAGCTCGATAACAAAATCATTGAATGTAGTTTCAAGAACGGTTGTTGGGTATTTATGCGCGAAAGAACTGATAAATATTTCCCAAATTCATTTACGACTGCTTAATCAATTTTAAATAGTATAATCGCGCCGGTAACATCTGAATTTATGATTAATTACATAAGTAAACATAAATTCAACGAGAATTGGGAGGATTGCTTGCTTCCACCAGCCAAACGACGGCGATAAATTAATTAGATTTTTTTTTATATTTTCAAATTTTAGCATGAGTTGAGCAGATTAGAGTCACGCGTTTTTTTTTCTGTTTATGTTTTTTTTTCTCTTCTAGCATGAGTTGAGCAGATTAGAGTCACGCGTTTATTTTTTTTTTTTAATGATCAATGATTAAAACAGTGCGTATGGTAAAATCTTACCAACGCACCAATATGAGATCAATTAAAAAAAAAAATTTTTTTTTTATCGTAATTATTTCCAATTAAAGTTTAATTTTGAGAATCTATAAATTCAGTAATAATGAGTAGAGTAACATATTAAAAATATCTTTTTTTTTTATTACAATGCAATACAGCATTTATGATGGGCTTAAAAATTTTTTCTTGACTATAAATGAATTTAATCGAAATATTTATCGGTAAACAAACATATTGTATCTGATGTAATTTCTAACTTTTCTAGCTCTGGAAATATGAATTTTCTAAATTTTATACTAAAATGAAAAAGTAAACTCGAACAAACGTACCGCAATAAGATTAATATGTAAATTACTGTTATAACTAAGACTGTTCTAATAGATAATGTATAATGTTCAATTGCCAATGCAAAATTACCATAATTGTGGTTATTAATTTCAATTTTAAAATAGATAATTTGAAAACATTTATTACGGAATCACGAGACCAGTTAAAAAACAGAAGATGTTCAATCGTATAATAATGCAATAGTGGCATTGGAGAACCAAAAGTTTGAGCTCATCCAAGGTAAGAAACATTTTCAATCTTATTCCATTAAAATGCGATCTTTTTTAATATCTTATGAAATATATTTACAGAATTGCATGAAGTCAAACAAGAACTGTTGACATTTGATTCACTAAAATGCGTTGAATTTGAAGAAAAAGAAGAATTATGCAATCAGAATCAAAACAAGGACGTAGCCAATGATGTTACACAAAATAATTTAGAACTACTGAGAGTATTAAATGAATTACAAAACCAAGTGAATGTGGTATTAAACGAAAAAAGTGCATTAGAAGAGAAATTTAATAAATTCACATTGTATTTAAATAGTAACAATGAAATCTTAACAGAGTTACAGTCAGAAATAATTGACTTAAGAGATTGGAATGATGGCCAATGCCATGTCATTCAAAAGATATTAGCAGATTTGAACGAAAATCAATTAGAATCAAGTCAAAAGAATTATTTACTTGACTACCATCAAGGCCTTTCTGATAAAAATCGCAACTTAGAGTTAAAAGTGGTCGAAATAAGAAATTCAATTGATATTTTCAGAAATGTATTCGAACACTTAACTCATGATAAAAATGTCTGGAACAATAAATTCTTCTTCAAAAATATCGACATTTCTGATATCAAAGCTCTGAGAATTTAAAAAAGAATTTTTCTTTTATTAGAAGAAAAATTCAATAAATAATGGCTATAGTGAAAATAATATATCAGAAATTATTATCTAATTCTTTTCGTCCATGATTTTTCTTCATATTCTACATCCCTTTATAGTTCTTTTAATCTCTTAAATAAATAAAAATTATTCATTCATAATTATTTTTCCTCAATCTGTCATATTAAATGCTTTATTTTATTGAGGAAATCATTCCTTTGAGAGTAATATCATACATTTATGTCAATTTTATTATCTTTTGTTATTATAAAAGAAAAAGTTCATTTCTAGTCTCATCAAGAAAAGAATCTTTCCTATCTGAAAAAACCGCTTTTTAGTAGTTACCGATATTATAGCAATCTTTTATCATTTTACCATCAGATATTTTGATAACCATACTTGTAATACTTACAGTCAATCAGAAAATTCTCTTCATTTTAGTTCTAATAATAATCGTCGGGTAGCCAGCACCACTTTCTATGTTAAAAAATTACGTTAAAAGACTTAGTATCAAATACTTTAGGTAGATGGTGACACTTTATCGTTGACCCTAGTTGTGAAACAGTTGAGGCAGTCAACAATCAATGACAGTTCCAAAAGAATATGGTGAAAAGGTAAAAAGTTATAAAATCTTGTCCATAACATTGGGATAAGTTAATCAAAATTCCACCGAATTTTAGTTATTTGTAGTTTTTAAATATAAGAAAAAAACATTATTGATTTTGAAGCAACAAAGCCATTTTCTCAAGTGCAAAAGGTAGCTTGTAAAAAACATTTTGTTCTTTTTTTAATGAAAAAGACTTGGCGCGCACGCGGTTTCGTATCATCACCTGTATGTGCCGGTTATGTACTTTATACTGCTGTGTTCACATTTGTCGTTCTTAACAACTGTGACGTTTAAGTTTTGCAGTGTTTTTATGTGTCTACAATTATAACAAGAAAAGTGGCAATCATTTTCAAGTTGTTCAATCTGCATAAAGAAAATATCACCAAATCATTACGCGACGACGCAACGGAAAGGCGAATAAAGCTCAACATTAAACCAAGTTTCTGCTCTAAGAACGAATGGCTGACAAAGGAAAAATGTGAGTGTTTTATTCTTCACTTTTCTTTTCGTACAACTACTATCTAACATTACTTTGCAGTAATTAATCTGTTTGCCTATAAGTTATCTTGCTAGAGCTACTGGAATGATTATTTACAGAATATAAGCTTTAGGTTGCTCATTTCTTTCAATAAAGATTATTGTTGTGACTTTGAAAAACACTATGCATACATGTTATATTCATATGAAGACTAAAAAAATTTCTTATATTGAACGAAAACAAACTCTTACTGTCACTTAATCACATAAGTGGTTAAATTGCTGTTCATTTACTCTCTGACCCAGAATATATTCGCTCGTTTAAGTACAAAAATTCATTCTTCTTTACAATAACTTTTATTATTTTCTAATGTATTTTTATATAAATATTAAAATTAAATCATCTACAAATAAAATTAATTTATTTCTCTACATTATTATTGACAATTAAATTAGTTTAATATTACAAATAATAATCACTTATGATCAATCATCATAAATTGTGAATAGAAAAATTTCACTTAACAAGCTCAACTTATATTTAAGAGCCAGAAAAATGAACTCGATAATTTAAAATAATTTATCATTTAACACTTTTTTCTTTTAATTTAATAAATAAAATTAATTAAAAATCATTATTAAAATAACTTTACCTATTTTTCTTATCAGATTTAAAACATTTTTCCTTTGAGTGTAATAAATAACATGACGTAGTTTCTTATAAATTAGTGTCAACTTACAAGGAATCATTTTTTTCTTATTAAAAATTAAGATACATTGAATAAATAAATAAAAATTAAATTTGATCGTTTTAACACTATAAGCATGAACATTTGACACAAACAATACACTAATCGGCCATCAGCTGAAGCAGTGTATGCTTTTAGATGTTAAGCCATTAATGTGTTACGTACAGCTGTTACAAATCAATATTTTCCTCATGGATTGGAGATTCCTGTGGAAATGAAATAGTGCTCGGAGTGAATCAATTCTGTTCTTAGTATTAACTTAATACTTTCAAGAACAATGATGTCATAATGATTCTATTATAGACGATCTTTATTATAAAAAAGAACATTGCTTCTATCTCGGTATCTTTTTTGCTTTATTCATTGATTTTGTATCAATTTTATCGGTCGCGAGAACGCCAGGTCAAGGTCAAGAGAAGTTTCGCATTCTCTCATGTGCAGGAAACGTCGAAAGAACGAATGACCGTGATATATTTCCCAGCAATCTATACGTAGATGTTTTGTATGTGTTTATATTTAATGTTGGATAAATGAAAAGTCTAGAATTGCCTTAATGAGCGTGAATGCTTTTGAAAATACCTTTATTAATATACGCTTCGCAGATGATAATGTTCTTTGCGTGGAATATTTTTAAAAAATCAATGTTTTAAAAATACTGTTTAACAGTTTGTTTATTTTTTAAAATTAGAAATGTGAAGGAAGATAATAAAAGATAGGGTGCATTGGAATCTTGCAATTATTTTATCATGAATATTTGCTAAATGTTATTCTTTTCAATTTTTTTTTTTTTTTGACTATTCATTTAAAGATATTAAAAGAATACTTTTTTAGATTTACTTATATGTTTTTGAAGTCAATTGAGAGCAATATAAAATAGAATAATTATTTAAATTCACTAACAAAATTCTGTCGCTTTCGAGGCCTAGAAAAATTGGGGTCAAAGTTGCAAAAAAAGTCGTGTTTTTGTAGTTCAATATTTTTTTTTTTTATTCAACTGTGAGCTGAATATCATCATTAGAGTTTATTACATAGTTATTTAAACTTTAAACTATCGATCGAAATTAAAAAAAAAAAAAAAGGTCAAAAATCAAATATTACTTTGTTTCAAACATATGCACGACAAAACGATTTATCATGTAATCTAAGTTTATAAACTTTATGTTTTTAATATTATTTTTAATGATTTTTTGAAAAAGAAAAAAAAAGATCGAAGATTATCATTTAACTTTAGATTCATTTAATTGATATTTTATTAATGAAATAACAACCATTTCTTCGCTTTCTATTTATTAATAAATAAACTATTGAAGCTAAATTTTTTAATGAGTTTAAACATTAAACCCATTTTAATTGTTAACTATTTTTCGTTAAAAAACAAATTGTTAAGTCAATAATAAAGATAAAGTTGAATTAAATTTTTACAGTCTCAATAACTCAAAGATACACTAATTTTTGTTAAAAAAAATTATTAATATCATTAAAATATTTTATCAAATCGTCGTAATTGATTGTTTAATTAACTTGAAAAATTATTCATCAATTAAATTTTTTATGTCATTCCTAAACTGTAAATAATTTAATGTAAAACTCAATCGAATGAAGTACTGTCAAGAATAATTTATAATTTTATTGAATCAATAAAACAATTAATTACTGTTATTTAATAAAATATTTAATTGTTATTAATAATTTTTTTTTCTCAGTGAATTACATTTCTTTCGTGATATAAATTAAAAAAATTATCTCAAAAACAAACATAAAACCGAAATAATCGATATATAATAACGAATCTCATTTCGATATTGACATAACTGGGTCAATTAATTAAAATTTTGAATAATGAGCTTTCGAGATATAACATATAGTAGACTGTGTATGAAGTTTCCTCCACTTAAATCAGGAAGAAAAGGGCTTAACATGTACAAATATATTTCGGTAAACATAATCGAGGACACATTTAATGGAGTAGCATTCATGTAAAGTCACATAGTATTTATTTGAAGCTTAACAACACATTAGATAAATTGTTAAAGTAAAAAAAAAAAAAAAGAAATAAACAAAAAGTAATTATGTACATAATTATGATACTTTTTAGTATTTTCTATGATCGATATACATTTGCGAGTTGAATAGAAAGTGATAAAACGATGTGATGTATTAGTGAATAAATTGAACAGGTAGTTTAGGTAAAGCAAAGAAAGTAGCAGCATAATAGCTGATGATAGAATAGCGTGTACAGACGTGCGCTAGAAGAATACGTTGCTATATAACATATACATATATATGAAATCGTAGCGATCGGGGTTTGCGCATTTTAGTTCGAGATTCGCAGAGTATGTAGGTAGTAGAGTGTATAATAATAACTGGTGTATTACCACCACTGGGAGGTGATACGACGTGAAATGTCAGTCAGTTAACGACCATTCTTACGTTATTACATATGTCGTATCATAAAATATTTACTTACGTTTAATCTGTTCTGGAATTTTACGTCTGATTTATCTAACTTTCAATATTCATTATTTTTGTGTCAATTGTTTCCGATTGCGTGGGTTGGTAACGAGTTTTGTTAAAATATTATATCATTATTATCTACCCCGATTAACTTTTTATATTAAACAAATTTCATTACATTTATTTTATGAATTAAAAAATTTATTTTAATTAAACTACTTTTTTTGTAAATAATTAGAATAATTTATTCTTGTTTTTTGTTTTTTTTTTATTAATTGCTACTGAGTAAAAACGTTTTAATAATTATATTCAAATTTTGTTGTTTTTAATAATTAAAATAAATGAGTATAAAAAAATTTTTATTCTCAAGTGTAAAAACATTAATTTTTGTTAAAATAATTTTTTATTTAATGTGCGAATATTAATTTTTTTTTTGAATGTGTAATTTATTAGTATGATTAAACTGGTTTAGAATTTTTATTAAAGAGATTTTAAATAAAATTTATTATTAATTAATTTAATGTTTTATGTGACGAGTGTATATACGAGTTAAGCTGTCAGTATAACTTTAGACAAAAGACTGAATCTCTCTATTTTTATATAACTGTGGAAAGATAATACTATTTATACGTAATATAAAATTTTATATTATGCTCTTTGAAATTGATTACAATTCT